TTTTTTTATTATTTAATATATTTTTTTTTATTTAAATCTCTTTAAAGATAACTGAATGTTTAAAGCAAGAATAATAATATATTGTGAGTTTTATAAGATATAAAGAAGTAAAATGTATGGGAACAACAGGCCAAAGTTTAAGAAAGGAGAAGTGGATGTATACTGTTTTAAGCTTTTTATACTATATGTGAAATGGTGTAGTATCACTTGAAGGTGAACAGTGATAAGTTAATGATAGATACTATTATCTAAGCCCTAGAGCAGTTATTTAAAAAACAGTTATTAATATAAGCCAATGCAGGAGAGAAAATAAATCATGAAAATTCTCAGTTAATCCAAAAGGCAGTAAAAAAAAAAAAAAGAATTGATGGGACAGATAGAAAATAAAATAACAAGGTCCTAATATTAAATCCAAACATATTCATAATCATATTAAAATTTTTTAATGATCTAAACACCCCAATTGAAAGGCAGAGACGGTCAGACTGGATAAAGAAAGAAGGATCCAACTATGTGCTGCCTAACATACACACGCTCACACATACACACACTTTTAAGTACAAAGACACAAACACATTAAAGTAAAAAAAAGTAAAAACCATACCATGCTAACACTAACCAAAAGAAAGTTTGAATGGTTATTATACTATTATCAGTCAAATTATATTTTATAGTAAAGAATATTATATTACCAGAGATAACAAGGGTCATTTCATTATGATAAAGGAGTCATTCATCAAGAGGTACATAGTAATACTAAATGTTTATTCACCTACTAACAGTGCTTCAAAATATATGAAGCAAAAACTGATAGAACTGCAAGGAGAAATAGAGAAACCCACAATATAGTCCGAGATTTCAGCACTCTACTCACAATAATTGATAGAACAAGTAGAACAATTAAACAGATAATCAGTAATGATACAGAAGATTTGAACAACACTATCAACCAATTTGGTATAATCGATATTTATAGAAAATCCAACCCAACAACAGTATCAGATACACATTCTTTTTAAGTGCACACAAAAAAATTACCAAGAAATATCATATTCTTGCTCATAACCAAATACTCAATAGATTTAAAAAGATTCAAATTAGACAAAGTATGTTCTCTGGAGACAATGAGATTAAATTACAAATCAATAACAGAAAGATATCTCAGAATTCCCCATATATTTGAAAACTAAAAAACACACTTCTAAATAACCCATAAGTCAAAGAAGAAATAAAAAGAGAGATTAGAAAGTATTTTGACCTAAATGAGAAGGAAAACACAACATATCAAAATTTGTGGCATGCAATGGAAGCAGTACCTAGAGGAAAATGGATATTTAATGCCTATATAAGAAAAAAATCTCAAATTGATGACTTTGGTTTTCACTTAAGAAATTAGAAAAAAAAATTACATTCAAAGTAAGCAGAAGATAGTAAATAATATAGATCCAAGAGAAAATCAATGAATTGAAAAACAGAAAAACAACTTAAGTGAAATGGGCAAATTCCTTGAAAGGCACAGACTAAAAACCTTCAAAAAGAAGTAGATAACTTGAATAGCCCTACAGGTATTAAAGAAACTGAATTTGTAATTAAAAACCTTCCAACATAGAAAATTTCAGGCCTAGATGGCTTCACTGTTATATTCATGGAAGAAACAACACCAATTTTACACAAACTCTTCCAAAAAAGTGAAGAGTCACTAACACTTCCCAATTCACCATATGAAGTCAGCATTATTCTAATACCAAAACCAAACAAAGACATTACAAGAAAAGAAAACCACAAACCAAGCTTCACCATGAACACAGACGCAAAATTTCTTTAAAATATTTTAGCAAATTGAATCCTACAACATATCAAAAAAAGATAACGCATTAGGATGTACATAACATCCCAGGAACCCAAAATTGGATTCACACTCAAAAAAACTGATGAAATTCCATATATTAACAAATTTTAAAAGAAAAACTACATAATCATCTCAATAGATACAGAAAAAGCATTCGACAAACTCCAACATCCATTCCTGATAAAAACTCTCAGCAAACTAGGAATAGAAGAGAACTTCTTGAACTTAATAAAGGCCAGCTATGAAAAACCTACAGCTATCATATTTAGTAAGATTAGGAGCAAGGTTAGGCTGTCCACTCTATCCACTTCTATTCAATATTGTATTGGAAGATCTAGTTAGTGAATTAAGGCAAGAAGAAATAAATGGCATCCAGATTGAAGGGGAAAGCAAAATATCTTTATTTGCAGACAACATGATCATTCATGTAGAAGATGCTATGAAATCTACAAAAGACCTAGAAGGATTAGTAAGTTGTAGGATACATATGAATATGAAAAATTGAATGTGTTCACATAGACTAGCAAAGAACAATTAAGAACTGATTTTTTAAAATACCATTTACAATAGTATCAAAAGATATGAATAATTAAGAATAAATCTGACAAAAGATGCAGCTGTATCCAATGAAAATTACAAAATGTTGCTTATATAAATTTTAAAAGATCTAAATAAATGAAAACATACATATTCTATTCATGGATCAGAAGACTTGATATTGTTAAGGTGTCAGTTCTCTCCAAGTTGATTTATATTCAACTCAATCCAAATCAAAATTTGAGCAGGATTTTTTGTACAAACTGACAGCTGATTCTAAAATTCATACAGAATTAGTCAAAATAAGTTTTATTTTAAAAAGAACAAAGTTGAAGGAGTTACACTGCC